GGCGTAGATCGGCTCGCCCGTGGCTTTTATTCGGCTCGGTAGGAACTTGTGAGAGAGCTTCTGTGTCCAGCTCGCATACTGGGTGCTGTGCTGAGGATGCAGGCGTGGAAATACTGGGGCTCTAGCAGTCCTTTTCATGCTCAGACAGAAAATCCCTTCCCTGGATGCGGCTTGCAGGCATGAAGGGCAGAGGCAAAAAAAAAAAAAAAAAAAGAAATAGGAAAGAAAAAAAAAACCCCAAATCCTTTTTTTCCCCCTCTTTCTCGTTATTCTTTTTCTTTTCTTTTCTTTTCTTTTCTTTCTTTCTTTCTTTCTTTCTTTCTTTCTCCCCCTTCCGCCTCTTTTCCCCCCTCTCCTGTGCTGATCAGTTCATAGCCATGGGGGAAGCAGCAGCAGCGAGGCAGCCGGGAGAATGGAGCGGGGGCTGGAAATCCAAATGAGAAGGGCTCCGGGAGGGAAGCGGAGAGGCTGGGCTTCCCGGGCCGGGGGAGGGGCTTCGGGCAGCCTGGAGAAAATGAATGGGGACAAGGGGAGCAGGGAGAGGAGAGGGCGGAGCCCCGGCCCGGGGATCTTATTCGGAGAAGTGCTTTGGACGGCGCTCGGCAGGAGGGTGCACCGGGGCGGGGGGGCGCAGGGCGGCCGTAGCCGTGCTGCAAAGTTGCCTCGGCATTGCATGGGGAGGGGTGGGGTGCAGGGGGTGAATTGCCACGGAAAGACCCTCCCTCCAGGCTGGCCTCCGGGCGGGAGCTGCGTTCACACGGGAAGCCATCCTGGCCGGCTGTGCACGGAGTGCGGCCGGGGAGGGCTGGTGGCCACGGGGCTCTGCTGCTGCTGCGGCTGCCGGGGCCGTTCAGCACCGCGGACAGCTCCGCCGGCCCCGGGCTCGGCTCCCTCCCGCCTCCCCCTCCTGCTCCAGCATCCGTCTCCGCACGTCTCTCTCCCTCGCGCTCCCCCTCTCTCCAAGTTGAAGGCTCGGCTAGCCTGGTGCCGGCTTTTCCTGAGCTTGCCCAGCCACCGCCTGGTGCCTCTTCTCCAGCTCAGCCCTGCCTCTTTGGGCAGCATCAGGCAACAGCAGCCTACTGGGAATGGAGATTTGCTGTACTTGAAGCGACGGAGCCGAGCAGCATCAAGGAGGCAAGAGACAGACTGAGCCGCAATCCTGCTGCCTTCTGGCTTGTCTGCTTTCATGATCAATCTCGCAAGATTGGGCGAAAGTCCAA